CCACAGCATGGCTTGACAAGTGGTGCATAGGTCTGTGCCCAGGATCCAAACCTGCAAACCCCAGGCCACCAAAGCAGAGCACGCAAACTTAACCGCTACGCCACTGGGCCGGCCACTAGAGGTGCTTATTTTGCCTTAAAAATTTCTAATTCAGCATGCTGTAAAATCTCACTACAAGTAAAATTTTGCTACAGTGAATAACATCAGTAAAAATTTGTTATGATGCTGTGTGACATTCTATATAGCAAGTTCCTTTAGTGGTCTTTTTGCCATGCTTTTTTTTTTCTTTTTTTCTTGCTGAGGAAGATCCACCCTGTGCTAACATCCATTTCTGGTCCTCCTCTTTTTTTGCTTGAGGAAGATTAGCCCTGAGCTAACATCTGTGCCAGTCCTCCTCTATTTTTTTGTATGTGGGTTACCGCCACAGCCTGGCTGGTGAGTGGAGTAGGTCTGCACCCGAGATCCAAACCTGCAAACCCGGGCCGCTGAAGCAGAGCACGTGGAACTTTAACTGCTCAGCCATGGGCCCGGGCCCTTTGCATGTATTGTAATAGATACGTTTTTATAATGAGAAAGGGAGCTTACATGTGTTGCTATCTAATATGTTGTGTTAGGCTCTGTGCCTAGGTGTAATTTTCTCAGTACTTTGCAGAACATTATTCCTATTTTACATGGGAAGCTTGGAGAGTAAGTAACATCTCTAGTCATCAAGAAGATGCAGAAGCAGGGTTTAAATGCAGGTCTAACTCCATAGTTTATGAACTTTCTATGTACACACTACTTTTGGTCAGTTTACGTGTGGTACAGAATAAGAAGTTTGTTTTTGTTCCCAGTTGAAATCTAAGTAGCATTTATCTTTTTTTCTTTATCCTTTCCACCTCAGATATTCTAGTCACCATAAGTCCTCAAAACATCGACTAACACCAAACAATTAAAATTAAGAGAAAATGGATGAAAGTGACTTCATTCTTATTTAATTTCTTTATCCAGATTCGTAATGCTTCTTTTTTTCACTTGATAATAAGTAATTGAGAATTCGAGACTTCCACTGTGTGTTATCGTTAACTGCCCTCCACTAAGAATTCGATTTCTAGAGGTGTATACCTTTTAACAGCATTCCTCTTCTGTAAAACAATTTGAAAATCTCATAAAATTCATTATATCCAAGAATTTTATTTATATTACTTTCATAGAATAGTTTCACTAGAATTTATTTTCCAGAAATATGGACAATTTCAACTAATACTTTTAGTTTTGTTTTCTGAGAATAAGAGGAAAGAAATGATCCACATTCACTTACATAAATAATTTCATCTATATTTTAGTGAGGAGAACTGTGTTAAAAAATGTATTCATGTGTAGTCATCAAATAGAATTATGCTCTTCTGTGAGTGATATTTATCATTTGTTACATCAGATATCTATCATGGCCAGAAGAGATGATGTGAAGGAGACAGAAGAGCTCAGGGACAGGGAATTAACAGATTTCCATGTCTGAAGAGACCTTAAAAATTATCCTGTCTCATGCTTTCATTTGTAAGATGCAAAAACTGAGGACCTTACAAGTGACATGATTTGCCTAGTGTTAACGTAATAGTAGTAGAATTGGAATGTGTACTTGGGCTATCTGACAGAGAATAAGTAGGGACATATTCCTAGTTTACAGACATCAACAAATATGTGCCACTATGTATGTTCACACGCACGTGCATTTCCTCAAACAAATAGAAATCGGGGACACGTGGAATGTTTCTGCCGGTGTTCTGTTACATGCCCTCAGGTCAAAATCAAATGTCAGCCCAGAATGTCTTTACTTTTCTCTATCCTATTTTCTAATTTCTTTACTTTTACTGCCTTTTGCCAAAGAAAACATACATATTTTTTTTACTTTTTTTTCCACCTAAGGATGAATATATCAGAATGTATTTAACCTACTGCTAATTAAAACAATGTTTTAGACCCATGTATAATAAATGTATTTATATAATATTATACTTTAACCACTGTAATGTCTGTGGAGTTATTGACTTGATAGTCCATCGAGCCAGTAGATAGAGAAAGGGATGGGAGAGAAAAAACTAAAGCTGTGCTGAGTGCCTTCACCAATTATTTCATATCATGCTCATAACAATCTTATGAGGTAGGTGGTACTGTACCCACTTTACAGAAAAAGTGATCAAGCACAGAGTTCTCTTTCAAATAACCGATCCTTTAGAATGAGAAGTAAAAATGAAGGGAAATAATAACCCAGGGTGGATTCATGCCAAGAGAAATGCAAATATAGTGTTACTGGATTTCAGAGGGGAGAGTGGTTGCTTTGGCTCAAGGAATGAGGAAAAGCCTTCTGAAGGAGGAAGGAATTGAAGCACTTCTTGTTGTAGCCTTGTGTATTAGCTTGCTAGGGCTGCCATAACAAAGCACCACAGATTTGATGGCTTGTTCTCACAGTTGTGGAAGCCAGAAGTCCAAAATCAAGATCGGCAGAGTTGAGTCCGTCTTTAGGCTGTGAGAGAAGGATCTGTTCCAGGCCTCTCTCCTTGGCTTGTAGATGGCCATCTTCTCCCTGTGTCTTCACGTTGTCTCGCTTTTATACATGTCTCTGTGTCCAAATTTTTCTTTTGTATAAGAATAGCAGTGATTGGATTAGGGCCCACCCAAATGAACTTATTTTAACTTGATTATCTCTGAAAAGGCCCTATCTCTAAATAAGGTCATTCTGAGGTACTGGGAATTAGGACTTCAACATGTGAATGAGAGCGGGGGATACTACTACCCATAACATTTAGATAATAGTCATACTTTATTTTTGGACTGGAAGAACTACCATAAATTAGTTTAATCATTATGAGAGTATATATGGAGGCATTAAATGCATGGATGTTATTAAGTTATACTTAACTTTGCTTTCTATATCAATTAAAACAAACTACATTACCTTTTCTCCTGCAGGTTTTATATTTTAACTTATTTATTTTTGGTTGGTTGTTTTCTCTAGAGCTCTCTAATTTTCTCATGTTCCTTTGAGGAAAAATGTTCCCTTTTAGCATAGTGTTTTCTTATCCAGTATGTCTTATGCAGGTTCTATTTATTAAACCTTAAAAATATTCCTAACTTCATTTTCCTGAAGACTTCAGAAATAGAGTCAGATGATCATTGTAAAAGAGAACAGGAGCTCCAGAGGGAGAACTTGAAGTTGTCATCTGAAAATATTGAACTAAAGTTTCAACTTGAACAAGCAAATAAAGATTTGCCAAGATTAAAGGTAAATTTAATGTTCTTTATTACAGTTAGGAAATCTAATACCTGAAAACTTTTTTCTCCCTACTTGTTATATATATATATATCATATTAGCTTATGAAGAAGTCAAAAACTCATATTTGTAGAATATCATGGTGGTGTTATACTTTCTTCATTTGTTCATTTAACAATTATTTGTTGAGGGCCTGCCTTGTGTCAGACACTCTTCTAGGTGCTGGGCATCAGTAATCAAAAAGGTTCTTGGACTTGCAGAACTGACATTCTAGTGGGGAAGGCTGATAATAAACAAATCAATATATAGTGTGTCAGCTGATGTTAAGTGCCAAGGAGAAAAAGTATGGTTGATGTGTAGGGTGTGAATGTGTGTGTTGGGTGGGGATGTGGGGAATTGCTATATAAAATAGGGTAGTAAGGGAAGGCTTTCTTAATAAAATCACTTTTTAGCAGAAAGCTAGGGGACAGATAAGGAAGTGGGTCATACAGATACTGGAAAAAGAGACCCAGACAACAGAAATAGCAAGTTCAAATGCCCTGAGGCAAGAAGATTGTATATTTCATTAACAGTCATCACACTTTAAAATATTAGGATATCTCTAAAATTATAAATAAAGTCTTTAAATTAAAAAAGTATTAGGGGGCTGGCCCCATGGTGTAGCGGTTAAGTGCACGCGCTCCGCTGCTGGCAGCCCGGGTTCAGATCCCCGGCGCGGACCAACACACTGCTTGTCAAGCCATGCTGTGGCGGCATCCCATATAAGGTAGAGGAAGATGGGCACGAATGTCAGCTCAGGGCCAGTCTTCCTTAGCAAAAAGAGGAGGATTGGCGTGGATGTTAGCTCAGGGCTGATCTTCCTCACACACACACACACACACACACACACACACACAAAGCTATAAGAAATTAAATCCAAAATAAGTACAAGGAAGAAAATAATAAAGAGCAGAAATCAGTGAAACGGAAAAACAATAGAAAATAAAAAAATTAAAAAGTATTAGGATAATTGTCTCTTTTAGAAATTTCATTTTATTTTGATGTTTATAAAAAGTTTGTCTTTGGTTTTCCAAATCTTATCCTATTTATGGGAAACTTTTTTTCTCTTGGCTGGCTAATTGTTTCAATTCTATTTTCTAACCTAGAATATTAGCAGTCTGTTAATTCCACTGGTAATTATATAATTAAGCTGTATCCTGCTTCTCATTCTGATTTTTACACTGGTAGAACCAGTGTTAAAAATTCAGTTAGCTGTTGGTCTGTATCATATGGGTAAGGATCTACAAAAGTAATTTAGGGGACAGTAAAATCCAAGTTTGATGTATACTAAGGCAATAATGTGGAAAATATTTCAAGAGAATATTTCTTGAAATTCATGTACAAAATACTCTTGTATTAATATACTCTAATTCAACATATGTCTTTGTTAAAATCCTCCCTGTTGCTGTAGAGACCCGCTTGTTCAGTTGGGCTGTAAGAGGTTGATAGTTCAGATGAATTGTTTGCCTTTCCTTTCTGATGGCTGTAGCTACATTAAATTGTTACGTGTTTGCTTTAATCTTTTAGAATCAAGTAGGAGATTTGAAGGAAATGTGTGAATTTCTTAAGAAAGGAAAAGCAGAAGTTGAGCGGAAACTTGGCCATGTTAGAGGGGTGAGTATGTGAGAATATGCCATACATTTGTTTTGGTTTCAGAAGTGATAAGCCAGAAAAGAGAAAAAAAATGTTTGGTTATGTCATAACAGTAGTGATGTGCCTTTACTAGTGCCTCTGGTTCCAGGTTTTATTCTGCTGCATCTACAATGTAAACTGTCATTAACCTTTCCTTGTGTTTTAAGTTGGTGTACTTTATCAGCTGTCGCACCTTACATGCTTTTTATTTCACTTGGACTCCCATCATCTCTTTTTTCATTGCGTATCCCTCCACGCCTTGAAAATATTTAACTTCCAGGAATCTTCCTTCTGTTCATTGAGGTAACTGCTAACTGCTCCTTGGTTCGATTCTAATATTTTGTAACTATTTTTTATGATATCCATGGCAACTTCTTAGTGTAATGCTCTGTACATATGTTTCCCAATTTTTTTTTTTGTATTCTTGTTTTTCTTCCCATGTTATTTTGTATTCACTTTTTACAATGAATAATTGCTTATGAGGCTAATGCCAAAGATTTAAGCCCTTGTTGACTTCATGTTAGCCAATGGTACAAATGGAAGCAATCATAATGCAAAAACTTATTCAAATAATAATATTAAATATATAATGATTTGGTGACAATATGAAGAGTATTATTAGAAAAGTATTTAGAACAATATCTTGCTGATAATAACCAACATTCATTTCATAAATAAAAATCTTTTTGTTAATTTGGCCTTTTCTATCTACATTAATTAGGACAGTATATATTAAAATTATGTAAAAGTTTATGTTTTAGGGTTATTCATTGCACGATGTGAATACTGACTAAAATGCAAAAAACATATTATTTTATTCAACTATTAAAAAACTTTTTGTTTTAAATTATAAGTAGGTAAACTTGTTAATTTGTGACCCATCTCTTTTGGTAACTCTTCGCCAGGTTTTTTATTTCAGATGTCTCTTCTATTTATATTTGACAGAAACTGATTTTTTTTTTTTTTTTTTTGAGGAAGATTCACCCTGAGCTAACATCTATTGCCAGTCTTCCTCTCTTTGTATGTGGGACGCCGCCACAGAATGGCTTGATGAGCAGTGTGTAGGTCTGTGCTCAGGATCTGAACCTGTGAGCCCCAGGCCGCCGAAGTGGAGCTTACCACGAACTTAACCACTTAACCACTAAGCCACCGGCCTGGCCCCTAGGATATTTTTATATTATTAAACCAAATACATAC